CATTAGCTAATTTACAATCCTCTGATACCTGCCAACTATTCAAAACAAAAAATAGTAGTAAGTGGTTCACATATACAATCTTTAACCTCCTTCAAAACCCTTAGGGAAATATTATCTGGCCCAGGAGCCTTATCGTTTTTTAAACTTCCCAATTTTTTTCTTAACCAGCTCAGAATTAATCATCTTGTTTGATCTCATTTCCATTTATCAACTGTTCAAGATGTGGAATAATACTTAAATCTTTGTTAGTAAAAACCAAAATTTAAAAAACCCAGCCATCTCATAATCATCAGATACTAGCCTCCCTTTATCATCCCTCAAGGGTCCTACCCCCATCCTAGCATTGTGTTTACCCTCAATATATTTAAAGAAATACTGTTAATTTTTACATTTTCAGCCAAACTTTTCTCATACGTCCTTTTTGATGTCCTAATTTCCTGTTTCACCAACTTTCTTGATCTTCTATAATCTTTTATATCTCCCATCATACCAGTCAATTTAAATTTCTTAAATTTATGATGCTTTTATTTAATTTTATCTCTTATACTCTTTGTGAGTCAACCTGGTTTTTTAATTGCAGCTACCCTTTTCTTTCTATAAGGAATATCTTTACCTTGGATATTTAAAAATTTCCCACATTTGATCAGTGTCTCCACATAACTCAGCTGCCAAATTCACAACAGATAATTCTTGTTGCATCCCTTCAAAATTTTGCTATTTTGAAATTTGTAACCAAAATATCATTATTCCTTATCTCTATGTGCAGCAAAACATCAAACCTAATAGAGCAATGATCACTTGCACCCAGATGTTCCCCAATTTTCACCCTCTTGATCATTTCTGTAGTTGAAGTTAACAATAAGTCTAAAATAGCATTGTTTCTAGTTGGTTCTTTGACTAACTAGTGAAGAAAGCCATTCTGAACAGTTTCCAAAAACCTTTCTCCCTCATGGTTTGACTCTAGAATTTCCCAATCTATATGCCTAAAATTAAAATCACCCATAATTATGACTTCATTAATAGCTGAAATCTTAATCTCATTGTAAAGTTCATTTACTAATTTCATCAGTATCATCTGGTGGTCTGTAACAAGTTCCCACTAAAAGCCTTTTCCCTTGATATCCACTAATAGAAACCCAAATGGATTCAATCTCTTTACTATTATCTTTGATATCCTAAACTTCAACAGCATGTAAATAACATTTTTCATATAAAGCCACTCTTCCCCCCTCTTTAATATTGCATCCCTATTAAATAGCTTGTAACCCTGTATTTCAAAGAAATTTCTGTCATCAAAATTATCTATGTTTAACCATGTTTCAGTTATCTCCATTATATCAAAATCCTCCATTCTACCAGTGCTCTAAG